TGTCTGGAAGGTCTGCGTTAAATCGTTTGTCACTTTTTGAAAATACAATGGATTCGGTTTTCCACGGCATTGCACGACTACCAAGGTTCAGGGTCGAGAGTAGCCCTTCCAATTTGGAACTTGAATATCCCCGATGAGTTATCCAGTCGGTTATCAATCTTTGAAGCCACAATTTTTAGCGTATAGTGATATATTCAACCGCGTCCGATTGTTTATAATGAGAAAAGTGCACTGAACCAACGATCCCACTCTATTTCCATTATCAGGCTCTAGCCATCGTCAGAACCGTTCAGCAGACTGGTGCAAGGAATGGCTGCAACTGTTGACATACCCAATGATCTCGTCTGCATGTACTAGGTACACGACCTCTTCCCCGCACACAAGCGTCTGGATTTCACACAAGGGATGGTTCGCATAAAGTCTATGAGAGGACTTAGGTTCAGGTTAAGAAAGGGCCAGTACAGTCTGACTCGGACCACCAGCCAGCCGCTGCATAGCAACAAACATTGAAAAGACTGCGAGGTCTAAGTGTAATTGTCAGTTGGCAACCTTCCAAGCAACGGTACTTAGTGCACCATGTTAGTCTCGGATTAGGATTGCACATGCAGCTGAAGAGCCATTTGGAGAAGGAACCGAGGATCATGCTCCCTCTTTCGTTAGAGGTGCTGTTTGCAAACATACGTTTTTGGATGTTGGATGTAGTCTTAAGTGACACAGATGCCGTGAGGCAAGTAATGCTGGTGTGATATAGCGGGCAGTGTCCCGTGCGATGAAACCACGAGACATATCGTCGGAAAATAAGGACTGGGCCAACGTTGCGACAACGAAGAACGATTGGTAACATTTGCTGATTTTCATGCAGGCGCATGTTTCCTCTAATGGGCCCATGTGGTGAGTGAATGTGCATGGACGGTGCGAACAGTTAAGTTGGGTGCATCACATGAGTGTTAGTGCTCCTGGCACTGGTTCGCCAGTCTCTGTGCGATGAATTCGTAAGTGACCGACCGGACTGACGTGTGAGGTGAATGTGCAATCACAATACGGACAGCTTGAGATCGGGTCACTATTACTGGTAGTAGGGCAGCGATGGTGATGGTAACTGTAAGCGGGACGTCGGAATTGGTATCAGCGATGATAGGAGTGAGGTAAGCGGTCGCCGCTGTGATCAATGTGGATGTTGCGGCAGGAAAGATTGTT